ATTAAATATCGCATGCGATTTATCGTGCAGCCCTAATTTTGATGTAAATGTTCAGTTTGCGCTCACATATTGGAAATCAATATTAATGCAAACCACTCTCTCACAACACCCTCATTTTTTTTTTTTTTTTTTTTGCAACATTTATGTTCTTTAGGGGATAATTCAGCCAACACAATCTCTCATCATTTACTCACCCTCATTCCACACCTGTATATCTTCCTTTCCTCTGTGGAACACAAAAGTAGATATTTTAAAAGTCAGCGGTGTCGAAATATCATTTAACCCCATTGACTATAGTCATATTGACAAATAGCCCCATGGAAAGTGGCCAGTGACGGCAGGGTTTAAACCAGACAGCACAGCGATACATAACTTGAAAAGTTGTCCTTGGCTGAGGTTTGTTTTAGGTCATTAGTAAAAGGACAAACTACCAAAATGGCGGTTATTGAGCAAACGCAAAACAGACAGTCAGACTACCGTAATGGTGAGTGGTGTGTGTTCCTTGTTTTTTGTGTTTCTGGGTGCAGGTCTTTTATTACACCCAAAGCTGTGTGAGTGTGCTATTTTAAGCAGCTTTGTAATTCAGTGTGCTGTGGCCCAGAATGAGGCTGTGGCTAATGATGTCTGTAGATTGAGATTGCGTGCTCAGCAGCTGATGGCTTTACTAATAACTCGGCCTGTCAGTTTTAATTTTAGTGGAATTAATTACATATGTTTATTAATCAAATTGATCCCAGTTAATTACGTATATCAACATTTGCCAAAAAAAATCACACTAATGAAGACAGTGTTGGACATCACATAATTGCGGATGGACAAGTAATTTATAACTTTCACACTGACAGCCATTTTTGAGCATCACAGTAACAAAACCCAAAAGTGAAAACTTATCATTCACTCACCATCATGCTATTCTGAACCCGTGTGACCTTATTTATGCTTATGCCATATATCATGATTGTAATTTGATACATTTTCCATGCCATATTGTTTCTGCTTAGACATACAGTTAAAAAAAAAAAAAATAAGACTACACTCTGCTATTCACACTTGGGTATGATCTTCACAACAACCAACTATCTTTCTCAATCTCTTTAAGTAACCTAGATAGATAGATAGATAGATAGATAGATTTTTCCGTGAGCCTGCTCTGCTCTGATTGGTCAGATGGCCTAGTCTGTTGTGATTGGTCTACGGCATACGGCGCGTGTCGGAAACATAATCTGTATAAAAACATGGATGTAGTGTCCGTGACGTCACCCGTAGGATTCTGAAGAGGCATCTTGGCAGCGTGTCACCGTGCATCACTTACGGATAATCAAAAATGGGCTGAAACCACGCCCACCTAGCTCGACGGCGGTGACAGCAGCGGCAATCCACCTGTCACTCAATTGGCCACACACTTAATTATGCAGAAATTAAAGGCTTAATATAATTTAAACGGATGAGTTATAAAAAAATTCACCCCCCTCACAATTGTCATGAAGGGTGAAATTAGCTATATAGACCAAAACCACTTTTTGTACCAGGTTGTAAACATTTTTTTCTGCTGTAAAGTTGGGCATTTTAACATGGGAAGTCTATGGGACTGACTCCCTTTTGGAGCCAGCCTCTAGCGGCCAGTCGATGAATTGCAGTTTTAGTCACTTCCGTGTTGGTTTCACGAGAGAGATCGGAAGGTTGCCGCTTGGTCGGAAACGATACGCTTATTTCAATAGTTCTGTATTTTGAACGCTTTATAGAAAATATAAACATCTATTATTTATCATACTTACAGGTTGTGATGCAGTGGAGCAGCTGGTCCAAATAAACAGGATACTGATCCATCTTTCAACAGCAACCGTTTTGTGAATCCCGCATTGAACTCCCCGAGATTAGAGAAGCAGTCGTCAGTAGAATGACGTGTTTGTGGGCGGGGTCAAGTTGTTTACACACTGCATGAAAGGCAATATTGGAAATGGCATAATAGGGGCACGCTATTTGGGTTGTGAAAAGTGAGAGTTGCATACCAAAATGGAGGCAGATCTGAATGCAGTACAACCTTGCATATGGCGCTTTTCCACTGCATGGTACGGCACGGTACGGCTCGGTACGGGTCACTTTTTGGGGGGGGGGGGGTGTGTCACTGAACTTGCGACACAAACACAGAAGAACCGCTAGATTTAAATCAGCACAGCCAGCGAAGGATCGAATGCAACTGTTTGGAACGAGCGCACCTTTTTTTTAACAACCAAAAAGTTTTGTTGTCTGTTGCGGAAGAACAGACGTTCCTCTCGTTGATAGCAGAGGAGCGGATCCAGCGAGAGCTTGATGGGGTGACGCGGAATGAAAAAGTTTTTTGTAGGAGTCGTGGTAGTAGAGGCGGCGCAACTATAGACATGTGAATAATACCGCCAGCTCTAAAGCGGTACTGAACTGCAGTGGAAACGCAAACCGTGCCGAGCCGAACCGTGCCGTACCGAGCCGAGTCGTACCACACAGTGGAAAAGCGCCAATAGTCCATAAGTCATGACTTTTTTATACACTACCATTTAAAAATTGGATTATTTTTTTTGGCAAGTTAAATTGATCAAAATGTCAAAATGCTTATATAAGCAGCACAAAGCATTAATGAAGACTAGAGTAATGGCCGCTACATTACAGAATAAATTAAGTTTTTAAAATATAGTCGAATAGAAAACTTTTAAATAATAATATTTGATGATAATAACCAATAATGAACGCTATGCTGATATTGTTTTACTGTATTTTTGATCAAATAAATGCAGCCTCGGTGAGCACAAGAGACTTATTTCATTAAAAAAATCTTACTGACTGCAAACTTATATTTATGATTCATTTGTGCATAGCATGTATTAATGTCACTGCATTGTTGGAACACTTGTGGTTACTCTTCATTGCCACCTGTGTGAACTTGAGTTGAACTTACTATAAACATCCATTATACCATATTATTATTATTATTATTATTATTATTATTATTTATTTCACTGTCCACACTAAAATGTTATTTCATTTATAGTTCATTGTCATCCATATTTTTTTTTAAAGCCTTTTTATAATGTTTCTATAGATGTGATTATTAATGTTTTTGTTGAATATTTTTGTGTTTAGGTTGTGAGGGGGAAATGACCAAGGAGGATGTGCTGAGGGAGTCTTCAGTGGGAGACTCTGTCCTGGGACGGTACAGCATTATTTCCCGTAACTCTGAGAGACCGGTGATCCATCAGGTGGCATCAGTGCCCATGCCTTCAGACTGCGGTGAGTGTGTGGGTCTGTGCACGTGCATCACTCATCGAGTTTCACATGAAATGTCGTTTCGCTTTCAGTTTGACATTAAGCCCCTGTGAAAATGTTCTCGTGCAAGCTTTTAAGTAGGTCACACCAAAAATGCTGACACTCTGGTTATTTATCTCATCAAATTCTCTCTGTGTCTGTACAGCGATGGATGCATTTTTTTTCCGTTCAGGGGGCAGCCTGGCTAATAAACAACTTATTTAGCTGTTTTCTGAAGTGTAGCTTTATTTATGAAGTAAAGTTTAGACCCTAAATTGTGGACTTTGCTTAAGCTGCTGTAAAAGTGAAGTATTGACAAGGTCACAGAAATGATTTTCCAATTTTCTGCCTGTCAGCACTGATACATCATTCCCTCTCTGTACTCGCTTCTCATTCACTCTCACACTTCACTTGAATTCATTTCAAACTGAGCTGTTTAACTGAATTTGAGTGATCAGGCTCTGGCATGCTCAGCATGGATAAATCAAAAGGAATAGGTTTTTAAATAATAATTTATATTGACAGATTTTTCGTTTCTGAGGTTCATTTAAAGATCTTACAGATTTGACGGTTCTGTTTTGCAGAGTTCTCCTTCTTTGACCCAAATGATCCTCTGTGTCGGGAGGTTCTGCTGGATCCGAGGACCACTGTTCCCGAGCTCTTCGCTGTTCTCAGACAGTGGGTTCCTCAAGTCCAGCGGAATATTAGTGTCATTGGCAATGAGGTCAGAGTTATTCTAAGTCTCATTCTCATGGTCTTTAAAGATGAAATGTAGTGAAATGTAATTGTATGAATTGAATTGAAATGTATATTTGAATGAAACCAAAAATACATTTACGTGTTTTTTTTGTTAATCAGCTGGCATACAATAAAAAGGATGACCAAAGTCCCATTAAAAAAAAAAAAAATCTGTTACTTAAAATAAAATAAGCATTACCTGAAACACGTAAACAAGCAAACTTGAACCAATTTAATTTCAGATAGTTGCTAACAATAAAAATATGATTTAAAAAAAATATATATATGATGTGGTGAGGGAGGCCTTTTACCTCTTAATTGGGTTAATACTGGTTCAAAACAATCACTTCAGTAAAGTTTTTTTCAATAAATACACTGTCATTAAAATGTATTTATTAAAAAAATGCATAAATAATAATTTAGTAAAATAAAATAAAGATTCTTACCATGCATGAAGGAGATCCAAAAATCATTTAATACAACTTTTCAGTAGCAATACATTGTTTATATGATTAGTATGATATTTTTAAATACAATGGTTTTATTATAAATGTGGTGATTATCTATAAGGTGGACACCTAGCTTAAATTATTTCCACCATCTATCCATTTCATGCCAACTAATGGAGAAGCCAGCTGGTTATTTATTATCATGTCAATTATTGTGACATTTTTGCACCAAAAAAAGGGGGCACTTTATACACCAAATACCATACTTTGACATGTTCATACGTTTTTGAAAAACTGTTGATTATGACCTGTGCTATACTTAAAATCACACCTTTGGGAGAGGGGAACAAAAAAACTATAAAATATATTTGGTAATTTTAATTATTCTAATTTGCTACAAAAAAATTGTCATACAAATAAAAATAAAATGCCAGGGATCACATTGAGGATCAGCCAAGTTTTCAAGAGCATAATGTAATGTGGTTGTTTAGAAAAGTGCTGCAATGTTTGGGACATCTAGTGGTTTAAAAGAAAATTAAATCAAATGTGCCTGTTCTACTCGTGGCCCTTTAGCCTAATTGTATCCTACTCTGATAAGTGTAAAAAAAAATCATAGCACATACAAAATGGATCAAATATTTTATTTAAATTTTTTTTTTCTATAGATTTCAATAGCTCTTTTTTTTTTAATGTTGCCTGCATAAAGCAGCTTCGTAGGTTTTGAACAGAACTGAAAGATTTGGGCTGAGGTAACACTCGGAACACCCTGGCAACCCTGTAGCAATGTTAATTAACACAAGAACCATTCACAATTTCTTCAGAATATGTACAAATCTAATTGGTATATTTAATTTTCCTGTAAAATGTTCAGAGGAAAGGAATGTAATTACATTTTGGTGAAAAATTGTGAAAACAAACTTTTATTTTTCTTCAGGAAAAACAAAAACAAAAACAAAAAAAACATGCACTGATGAATTGTGCGTAACAAGGCCAGGGATATTTAACATCTAAACAGGGTCAATTTTAATTTGATGTTTTCTTGCAGCTGTCATAAAACAAACCCACGCACTCCCCCTCCCTGAGTGTCAGGCTCTGTTGACTGAAATATTATCTTTGCATACTGTGTGTGTGTGTGTGTCTGTCAGCATGAAATCTTTAGCTGGGTGTCCTTGATGTATGTATTCAAGTCGGTTTGTCTTTGTTCTGTAGATTCTGAAAAGAGGCTGTGGTGTCAATGACAGAGATGGTCTTACTGACATGACTTTATTGCACTACTGCTGCAAGGCAGGGGCTCCGGGAATAGGTGAGCATGTATTTAATTGAAGGAAAAAAAAAAAGCTTTTTAATTAACATTTCTTTGTGATAGTTTACTTGGTAACACTTTATTTCGATAGTCCACTTTAGACATTATATTAACAGTAAGTAACTTTGCAACTACATGTCAACTAGCAGTTAGTAGAGTATTAGTAGACTGTCTGCTTAATATCTTCTAACTCTTTCTTTGTCAACTTATTCTACTAACCCTAAACCTACCCTAACAGTCTACTCTGAGAGTTAGTAGACATGTAGTTGCAAATTAATGAGAATTAGTTGACATGTAGTTACAAAGTTACTTATAGTTAGTAGAATGTCTGAAGTGGACTATCGAAATAAGGTGTAACCGTTTACTTTAGTAGAAATCTCAAGGACCGATCACTGATCCAGCACAGCACAAGATATGACAGTCACATCTGATTGCAGGTGACGCTGAGAGTGCTGCCAGTTTCGCCTGTCAGCTGTTGTCGCTGGGAGCCGAGCCATCCTTACGCAGCCGCTGGACCAACATGAACGCTCTCCACTACGCCGCATATTTCGACGTCCCTCCTCTCATCCGTGTGGTTCTGCAGGCGTCACAGCCGGGAGGTGAGGAGAGATAATGGAATGACAGTGGGAATCAAAATTGCAGTTTGAATCTCATGGCAAACTCAAGTGCTTGTGTGATGATGTCCGTATGTGGTCTGTTGGGTTTCAGAGGTGGATGCGACCTGCAGTGATTTTGACTTTGGCACTGCGCTGCACATCGCCGCCTCGAACCTGTGTACCTCTGCAGTGAAGTGTCTGCTGGAGCTGGGAGCCAACCCCGCTTTTAGGGTTTGTGATTTTCTTTATGGCTACTAACAACAAGCAAATTGAAATCCAGGTTTCTTTGTTAGTTGTTGAAGTATCTGCTTTCTCATGTTGGAGCTGTGACACTGGAAGTACTACACAAGTTTACTATAAGAGCAATGTCTGCAGCAAAAGTCCAGTAGACCAGTTTTGAAGATAAAGACAAAAAGAGGAAATAATAAAATATTTAAAAATGATTGTGCATTAGATAATAACAGTGACTATAATTAAGAAAATATTATTATTAGTATTATTATTATGATGATGATGATTATTATTGTTAATAATAATACTAATAATAATAATAATAATAATAATAATACATTATTAACATTATTATTATTATTAATAATAATAATAATAATAATTTCCATGGCTTATAATTTAAATGTACATGTAAGTGTAAGGAAGTACAATTTTTAGAATAATAGTATATGTTATAAAAACAGATTATGTTTTGAATACTACTAGTACTACTTCTACTACTACTACTAATAATAAAACAACAACAATAGCAATAGTAATGATAATAATACTACTACTACTAATAATAATAATAATAAAGTATTTTGAAATGACTGTTTGACTTGTTGTTGTTGTTGTCATTGTTTTTTATACATGTT